CCGGGCCAGATTCCGTTCATCCAAAATTGTTGCATGAATTGGCAGTGGAACTCAGTGGACCTCTGACTTGTGTGTTTCAGAAGTCACTCAACAGCTGTACCTTGCCTACCGAATGGAAGGAGGCTGTTGTCTGCCCGATTTTCAAGTGCGGTGACAAAGGCCTACCGGCTAATTACAGGCCTGTCAGCTTGATTAGCGTGGTCGTTAAGTTACTTGAAAAATTAGTACGAGATATAGTGGAGAACCATTTATATACGTTTAACCAGTTTTGAGTCGAGCAACATGGTTTTCGCAAAGGATTTTCGTGTCAGACGAACTTGCTGGTAGCTCGTGAGAGCTGGGCTGAAGCCGCAGACAGTGGACATGCGGTGGATGTGGTGTTCATTGACTTCGCCAAGGCCTTTGACACTGTCCCCCGTTCGCGACTCTCACTGAAGTTGAGGTCGTATAGAATAGCTGGTCGCGCTCTCCAGTGGGTGTCAGCTTTTCTGGATGGACGGGAACAGTGTATTCGTGTGGGAAGCAGTCTTTTGTTTCGACAAGCTGTACTTAGCGGCGTTCCGCAAGGCTCTGTCCTAGGTCCGCTGGTTTTTTCAATCTACGTGAATGACTTACCGGAGGAGCTTGAGGTACAATCGCTCTTATTTGCTGATGGCCTAAAACTCTGGAATATTGTTGATATCCCTGGAGGTCCTGGCTCTTCCACGGGCTCTGGATAGACTCTGAGAATGGTCTGCCTTGTGGTTGCTGCACATAAACCGGGCAAAGTGTTCAGTGCTGCGTATCGAAGCGTCTGCTTCTTCCACAAGTTATGTGCTCGATGGGAGTGAACTTCCTCACGTGACTCATCAGGTTGATCTGGGTGTCGTCCACTGTTCCACACTGGCGACAATTGGAAGAAGGCGGCTAGTAAAGGGTTCCGGATGTTGTGGTTTATCCGTAGTTCTTTGGGGACTATAACCACTGATGTGTTTGTGAAGTTTTTCTCAGCGTTTGTGCGACCCCACCTAAAAAATTGCGTCCAGGCCTGTCCACCGTGCCTTGTCCTGTACAAAATGGCAGTAGAGAGGGCGTTGCGTGTCGGTACTAGACTGGTCAAGGGATTACGAGGGCAAACGTACCCCGAACGCCTACTTAGTTTGGGGATGCAGTCAATGCACTATCGAAGGATTAGAGGGGACCTAGTCCTAACCTTCCGTATTTTAACTGGGAAGGTTGACCCTGATTTGTCCATGCTATTTAGTCCTGCTAGATTAGCTGGCCTTCGCGTGCATTGCATAAAGCTGGACCAACCGCAGTCCGATCGAGTTAAAGCGGAGACACGGTTATCACGTCGAGTCATCGAGCGCTGGAACCTGCTACCAGAACATGTTGTAAAGGAAGCTACGGTTAAGGGGTTTGAGCGTCAACTTGACGCACTTGGGTGGCAGCACGAAACCCTTCCTTTTTCCTGACTAATTCCCATCTTCATTTCTTCTATTTTCTGTACTTTTCCTCGTTATTGGTATTATTCTCTTCTTTTAACTGATTCCCCCTACTCTCTTACCTTCGCTTTTTCTTCCTCTCTTACTTACTTCACGTAACTGACATGGCCGGGACAGCTAACGTAAGGAACGTGGGCATTAAATTGGTGGACCAGGGTGCTTTGCTTTTAGACCCATCAAGAAGTCGGAGCACCCCTAACAACTCCTGGATGGACGACCCGCACAAGAAGGAACACTTACGGGATTCATCCTATAGTTCCAGTCCCACGTGAACCTGAAACTCGGTTAGTGCGTAGTTATTGTGCGCTGGAGCTCGCTTCCAGAAATTGTAGTCAGTGAACCTAGGATAGATCCCACTGGCAGGCATCTGCTCACAGAGGTCTAGATGTTGGCGGACTTACCGAGATGCTCCGTCCACCGATACTTATGACAGGTACCGTAAGGCTAGAAATAGGTGTAAGCAACACCTAAGGAATGCTCGGCTCAATTTTGAAAAAGGGTTAGCGGACGAAGCTTCAGAGAATCCAAAAAGATTCTTCGCTTATGTCAAAAGGCGCTGCGCTTCGAACATGTCAATTCCAGTATTGATGCGTGATGCGTACTCAGTGGGCAATATGCGGCAGCGTTTGTAAGGGGAACCTCTTTGACAGGCGTTGAGCTGGTTTGCAGGACCCCAGAGGGTTCAGAACTATCTGAATTTATTGTAGCGGAGACTGCAGTTCGTAGGCTGTTACAAGGGCTGAACCCTTCTAAGACCTCTGGGCCTGATTTAATTCACCCGAAACTGTTGCATGAGTTGGCTGCGGAACTAAGTGGACCGCTCGCTATTGTGTTTCAGAAATCGCTTGCCAGTTGTGCATTGCCTTCCGAATGGAAGGAAGCTGTCATCTGTCCCATCTTCAAACATGGGGACAGGGGTCTGCCTGCAAATTACAGGCCAGTTAGTCTGACGAGTGTAGTGGTCAAACTCCTCGAGAAACTGGTGGGAGAATCATTGGAGAGTCATCTGAGTAGATTTAATATACTTAGCAATGTACAACACGGATTCCGGAAGGGATTTTCGTGTCTGACGAATCTGTTGGTGGCTCGCGAAAATTGGGAGGATGCAGTGGATAACGGCCACACACTGGACGTGCTTTTCGTCGAATTTTCGAAGGCATTTGACAAAGTACCCCATTTGAGGCTCGAGCAAAAGCTGTCCTCCTACGGGGTATCTGGCCGCGCCCTTCATTGGGTGACTGCCTTCTTGGAGGGTAGAGAACAGTGTGTACGGGTAGGTCGGGGCCCATCATTTAAGCAGTCTGTCTTCAGCGGCGTGCCGCAGCGCTCGGTCCTTGCACCGCTGTTGTTTTCTATCTATGTGAATGATCTACCCGCGGAGCTTGAGGTACCATCGCTGCTATTTGCTGATGACCTGAAGCTGTGGAACATTGTTGATGTTCCTGGGGGTTCCGAAGCTATTCAGCGAGCATTGGATAACCTTTGGGACTGGTCTACTTTATGGTTACTGCCCATAAATCAGGCAAAGTGCTCCGTTCTTCGAATTGGAGGAGGTTGTCCTCCTGCGAAGTACTTGGTCGGTGGGGTCGAACTCCCCCGTGTACCTAGCCAGGTTGACCTAGGCGTTGTACACTCTTCGGTTTTACACTCCGGCGACAACTGGAAGAAGGCCGCAAGCAGAGGTTCCCGCATGTTGTGGTTAATCCGAGGTTCTTTCGGAGTCTTGACGGGCGGCATACTTGTGAAGCTGTTCTCGGCCTTCGTTCGGCCTCATCTGGAATACTGCGTCCAGGCTTGTCCGCCCTGCCTCGTCCGGGACAAAATGGAGCTAGAGAGGGTTTTACGAGTGGGTATTAGGTTAGTCGAGGGATTACGGGGACGGACGTACCCCGAGCGTCTACTTAATTTGGGAATGCATTCAAGGCTTAGAGACCTAATCCTAACCAACCGTATCTTGACTGGGAAGGTTGGTCCGGATTTATCTTGGCTATTCAGTCCCGCTAGATTGTCTGTTCTACGCGGTCATTCGTTGAAGCTGGACAAACCGCGGTCCGATCGGATAAGGACGGAAATCCGGCTGTCACGCTGAGTCATCGACCGCTGGAACATGCTTCCGGAAAGTGTTATCAGGGAATCTACGGTTAAGGGGTTTGAGCGGCAAGTTGACGCTTTTGGGTGGCAACATGAAACCTTTCCATTTCCCTGAGTAAATCGCATCTTCGTACTTCGATTTGCTTTTCTCTACTTTTCTTCACGTATTGGTATTATTTTCTTATTTAAGTGCACTTCCCTATTCTGTACCTTCGATTTCTCTTCCTATCCTTTGCATACTTCACGTGACTGCCACAGCAGGAAACGTGGGCATTAACTGGTTGGCCAGGGTGCGATACGGGTGTTCCGTTTTAGATCCATCAATAACTGAGCGCTTCATCAATTCCTGGCTCAACGATCCACTCAAGATGGAACACTCACGGGATTCTCCTATCGTTCCCGTCTCATCTGAACTTGAACTTAAACCGTGAGTGGCACGGTCCGTCAGTCAAGCGAACCATTGATATCATAGGGCAGCTGAACTGGGTACCACGTGAGCGTGACATTCATTACTTATGACTGACACGTCAGCAAAAATAGTATGTTCCACTGGACGAGACCACCTGCTCACTCTCATCCCCTTTGCGTCATTCATGCTGCCTCAGCCTAGGCTCTTCACTCACAAAGTTGGCTCAGTTTGCTTATTTACCTGGGACACCGGCCACAGCTGCATCGAGTACCGATATGAGTGCGTGCAAGCATGATAACGGTAGGTGGTTTTCGTTTACGCACGGTATAACTGGCTGGCGCAACTAGTGAACATGTAAGCGGATATGGGGATAAACAAGACATTTAGAACGGGGAAGTTACATGGGATGAACTCACTAACTTGCCGGCATGCGTCTGAAGATTGCCAAAGTGGTGTCGACTTCCATCTTCAAAACCATTCACATGAGAGAAGTTGACCGATTTACCTTTACGTCTAATCCGTCGAATAAATACATCGAAGCGAAGCCCTCAGCCATAAGAAAAAATCAATACCGTGGCGCAGCTGGCGTTTGTGTATTTTTCTTGCCTTGGCGGTCGGTCCGGCTATGGCAGCCAGACGATTAACTACCAGAACATTGGAGTAGCCTACATTAGCGTATACCACATTTTCTAGAGGTTAAATTTAAGGTTTGTTTCAGGCCCATACAGATAAAACAATTGCAACCATGGGTTTGTGTCTGGTGCATATTGGGTCTGAACCTGGCGTTGGTTTATCTCACTCCGATGAAGTATCAATCACTCATGAAGACAGCTTGGTGCCAAAACGAGTCTACCTGTAGTGAGGCGAACGCGATTCGTAGAATTCTGCCAGATGCGTATTATATAATACACTTGGCCTACTGTATACCATTAGAAAACATGCCGAACTTGATTTCAAAAATTTATGGCATTTCCGGGACACTGATCTCTATCACTTGCTTAATCCTCCTTCTACAGATGATCGCACGCGACCCGGACAGCACTGCGCGGCTGGTGTACTCCATGGGCTCCACCACGGAGACCACAGTGATGCAGTCTACGTTCAGCATTGAGACAAACGGAGCTGTACGACTGCGCAGCTTCCTTGACTATGAACTGCGCCACACCTACATCGTTCCCGTCAAGGTCAGCGATGGCGAATTCACAACCCAAGCCCAGTTGTTTGTGCACGTGTTGGATGTTAACGACGAGGCACCTGAGTTTGAAGTTAACCCGAAGCAACTGATTGTGGAAGAGAATGCTTCGGCCGGCAAGCTTATTGGCCGAGTGAGTTCACTTTTCCATGCTGAACCACTTCAGTAACATTCATAGATTCTCAGTTATAATGGCAGCAAAATTGGATTCCTTCAAGCAACTTTCAGACAAACAGACGCGTCATTGTTGTGTATAGGACAGATAAAATGATTACTTCGGATGAAGCGAAAAGTTCGAGAACGCCGAGCTTACTATCTGCATGTTGCACTACTCTGTCCACCTGTTAGGGCTCTACCAACTCTAACGAGCCCATCGTCTCAAGTTGCAACCACTAACAGGGAAAGCACAAAGTAAAGTGCAATATTATAATCAGGCCTAGTAACAAAATTTCGTCTGTCTTAACGTAAGGCTGTTCCCATGCTTTTTCTGCATAAATATGATGCAAAGATCGTGTTGCCAATAGTGTTGCAGTGTTTATCCTTCATGAGCAATGTTACAGACAAAGCAACAGAGGTTTTTAACTTTCGAAGGGGCATACCGTATAGTGGGCTCCATGTCTTCTAAACTAGCACCATTCCAAATCCCATCATTCAAGATCATTCGCGGGGGGCACGTTACTTCACTGAGCATGCGCGATCTTTTCCTCCACAAAATTGCCGTTTGTCAATGACGCGAGACGGAGCATATGAAATTCAACGATCACGATTGGTTTTCTGCTTCACATTTACTTGGCTTTTCCATGGTGATCCCATCCAGTTAGCACAAGGACCACCAACGATTTCCGCTTTGCTTGATAGTTAGAAGCAATTTACGTTCGAATGTCTTAACGAATGCTTCGGTTATTTGCCCGAAGGTCTTGAGTGGTTGGATAAGAGACTGCTTGGTTTAAAGGCGTTAGCTCACAAGAGCCAACGTAATACTTGCTACCTTTAATACATTTCTTGCTGGCGTTTTCAGGGGCACATTTTAAATGTAATTTAAAGTACTGAATTAACGTAGTATTTATTAGATTTTTGACCGGACTTTCAGAAAAGAATCTGATCTACGATTTTAAAAGCATTTTGTTCAGTCCAGATTTATTTTAATCAAATCAAGGCCTGTAACACATTTTAGGTATTTTTAAAAACAGACACTAGCAGAAATTGGGTTAAATTACGATAGTGTGGCTGATTGCCATAACTGACAAGGCATTACCCTGCTAGATGAAAAAGCCGACATTAATACAAGGATCACCTGCGACAAGAACGTTTTCTCGCGTGCGAATTCTTTACTAAATTGAAAGCGTTTGTTTATTCGACTGCATTCGAAGCGGTAGCAACAACCTAACTTCATTACAACAGCCATACATAGTTGCACCCATCCAGGGAACCTTACCTTTTCCTGAGTATGTCAATGAATCCGCATATAATAATACGAGAGTATGACCTCTCACTTCCTCCGCATTATTAATGTCTAGCCCGCGGTATACTGAGTTTCGAACAGGTACTTGACGGGCTAGAGAAAAATGCAAACAGCTCATTTCATTAATCCAAAGCAGATGGGCAGACCCTATCCTGTCAACTTCGTAACTCTCCTCTCTCCCAAAGGTTCGCATTCGAGACTCGGATAGCAATGCGGTTAACGGCAAAGTGCATTGCTGGGAGCCAGTCGAACTGCGTCGCCGACAGGTGGTTGCATTTGTACCAGACCCTAGTACCGCTCCATTCTCACCGTTGTACGACCTCACAACACGCATGGTTTTGGACAGAGAGTCAATTCCGGAGCCTAATGAAGGGCGGCTACTCGTCTACCTTGTCTGCGGTGATGGCAACGAGCCAATAGACGGGAGTCTGCTGGCGACCACGAGAC